AGATGTTAGAAATCAGGGACGCTCCAGTGCCGACAGTGCTATATGACCGCGGTGCGCCGCCATATACTTTGATGAACCTGGCGAAGAAAGTTTTAAGTAGGGAAAACGGCCGATTTCCCCATAAACTAAGTTATTTTATCGGGTATCTACATAGAACATTCGAGTATGCTTATAACTACATGAACTAAATTATAATTTGAATTTACTACATAAACTATATAAATGTGGTCAAAACCAACAAATTAAAAAACATCTTTAATTAAACTGTTAGTATAGCTGACTGGTCTGCCACATAGATAGACAAAACGACTGTGTTTTACAAAAACGAATCCAAACCCGAAAACGACGTCGTTTTAGTAAAGTTAAAATTTTTAAAATTAAATTATCTAAAGACTCGATCCCTCTACCTCTGCATAATTAAACCCAACAAAAAGCCAGGTCTGCTACAAGAATTTATGACGTATATCCAAACATAGATTATTATATACCCACCTATTCTTCTTCTTCTCCCTCCTCGTTAACAGAAGTTACAGAACAAACTAAACCATGTTCTTTCACTTAGAATCCACGAACCATTTATAAGAAAAAATGAGTTTTGTTTCCTAACTCCTAAGCATAATCAAGTCCTGGTTAGTTTTTTGAAAAGGTTAAATGAAACGACGCCGTTTTACGGTTTTAGTCTCATCTTCGTAAAACACGGTTGTTTTAGTCTATCTACGTGGCATCATAGTCAGCTCCAACTACACTAACGGTTTAATTAACGGCGTTTATAGTTTTGTTGGTTTTCGCCACATTTATATAGTTTATGTAGTAAATTCAAATTATACATTAGTTCATGTGGTTATAAGCACACTCAAAAGTTTGGTGTATGTACACGATAAAGTAACTTAGTTCACAGGGGAATTAGCCGTTTTCGCGTTTAAAGCATATTATTAATAATATTATCTGATAAACTTGTTAACTAGTAACATTAACATTGCCTGCTAACCCAAGTAACAATAATTAACTATCTCGAGCATTATGTCTTAAACATATATATAACTATATTATATGATAATTATTATATCTGCTATCTTAAGCATGATAGGGTAATTATTCATTACCGATAATAAAGTTACAGAATAAAAACATAATAGAAAAGTTGAATGTCTGTCTGCGACCTAATTCATCAATTTTCCACTTTACATGAATTGCAGATTTCTTGAATAGGGCTATGAAGGATGTTGACTACGAGGGAGACGACCTCTTTGTTGGTAGCGTTGATGAAGTGGAATTTACGCCTGATGGCGTGAATCACCATTTTTCATTGTGCAGTCCTCTTTGTTTTTGAACAAATCTGGACCAACCATGGTTTTGGCTGTTTGCGTCAGCCATACTTGCCCATGGCGCGTGTATGCAACTAAAATGGAAGATAGCGACCATTTCAAAATCAGAAGCACCACGCTCCAGCATACGTGTAGCGTAGATGCTCGGGGAGATTTCCACAAGTAGGCATCCACAGCTGTGATTGGCAAGCTGGTGCGAACGAGGGATGAGGACCAAGACCGAATGGCTGCGAAAGATACTTCGCCAAGAGTTCAGCCTAAATGTTTCTAATTGGAAAGCTTGGTGAGCAAGAGAAATAGTTATGGACAATGCAATGGGGATAGCCATGGGGAGTTACGCCTTAATCCAGCCTTATTTAAAATTTCCCTTGGAAACAAATCCAGGATCACTAGTAACACTTGAGGCATAGAAGGATAGCACCGGCGTCGACCGCTTTAAGTATCTATTCTTCTCGCTGGCTGCAATGATTAATGGGTACGTAGACATGAGGAAGATGGTTGTGATAGATGGAACTCAGGACGCAAATTTCCAGATTTTCCCCCTTTCTTTTGGGATTGTAAACGATGAAAATGATGCAGCTTGGACATGGTTCCTTGAGAAACTGACGGCGGTTGTCCTCGACGAACCAAAATTGGTGTTTGTATTAGACATGCATTCCTTGATCTATGCAAGTATTTGAAAGGTACACTTAATAATTATATTAAAAGCGAAGTGTGTTAGATGATAATATACATACCCAATAAAACGTGATAAAAGCGATAATGAAAGTTATCACAATTGTTGTCTAATATATTGGTTATCGTATAGACATGTTAGCATAATATGGATATTCTTTTTTAGACCTATAGCATATTTGTATTGGAAAACTTATTTAATTCTTAAACGGAGAAGGCTTATATGATTAGGTAACATTTTCTTTACCGTCAAAATTCTTAAACGTTTAGTGTACCCAAGTTACCGGTATAGCCTAGAAGTGTAAATTAGTTATCGGGATAAATAAGTTAGTTGATAATATGCAATTCAAATGAACTTGATTATAAGCGACAATGAAAGTTAACATCATAGCATACTAAAAAGTTTATTAGCGTGTGGTGAATATTCTTTTTTAGTCCTATAACATATATGTCCTGGATACTTATTTACTTCTTAACCAGATAACGTTTCTGCCGTAAGGTAACATTTGCTTTAACAAGAAACAAATATGTAAGTGGTAAAAGGTGTTATACACAATTGTATAGTGTAACTATTTTATCAGTATAGCATATCTAACTGACATTGTATTACATAGGTATACCCCATGTCGTCCCATGCATCATGCATCGTCCATCTCAAACAAAAAATCATCGGATTCTTCAAATCAGAGCCGCTAAGCTGTTTAGTCTTGAGGTTAGGGAAATGAGTCCATCTTGTGCGGATTACCTAACAGGGATTGGGTTTGAACATTGGAAAAGGTCCCACTTTATGGGTGAACGGTTCAATGTTAACAAGCAATATTGCGGAATCGTTGAATAATGTACGGCACGCGACTACCTAGGAATTTCTATCTAAAAGACGATACGTACAACATTGGTTACATAGTTTGCACTGCGGAGAGAAGCAGCCCAGCTGGAAGAAAACATTTTGCCACCCAAGGTTCACAAAATGGTAATATAGAACTACGAGAAAGGAGCTGAATTTGGTGTGTACAAACTGGGCGATAGGCAATATGAGGTTCGAGACAGATAACCAGGTGATATCTCTATATTTTATCACTTTTAAGGATATATTTATTTTCTAGTTAACTTCGTTCACTTGTTGATTCGCATCATTTAGAGTCTCTTTTGCATGTTTTGCATACTTAGAAAGATTTTGCATGTGTCTTGCATACATTCTTGCATTTGGAGTGTTGTCAGGTATTTTATGACTTCTAAAGATCAAGGAAGAAGCTGGTTTCACTTATGGGGTTAAATACGAGGATTAGAAACATTAAGAAGAAAAGAAGAAGTGCTCGACTGCTCTACTCGACCAAGGCAACGAACACTCGATCGAGTGCATGACAAGTTCTTTATAGACTGACTCGAACGATGAGATTCTTCCTCCAATGGTGCTTCTCCGGCAAGCTCCTCTCCTGATCGGTGATTGCTGCTAACCTCTCCTTGGTGGATCTCGTTTCTGGTGAGATAACCGTTTTCCGGGGAGTTTTCCACACTTGATGTCTTCCTTTTTTCAGTCAATTTGGACCCATGCTTGCCACTTACCAATGTCTTCGGTTGTTTTCCTTGCTCTGAGGCCTCCTCGTGCTCCACCGCCAGAGCCTCCGTCTCCGCCGACTCCACCGAAACCACCAGATCCACTGGACCTTCAGATCTGCTTGTTCGTTACAAAACTTCTTATCCAGTTGTTGATTTCCTCTTCCTTTACGGAGCTTATTATCCTCCTAACTACTTCACTTGTGTTTGGTGGTAGTGTTTGATGGAGCATTGCTTGTAAAACTGATATGCTTAATGCAGAAGCGGAAATTGTTGTTCACGATTGTTTTTGTTCAGGTTTTACTGGCAGTTTGGCGTTAACTACTCCGGAGGCTCTATTTCCTCCTCTTTGTTGTCTCGATCTCTTTAAATTCCCAACTGCAGATTTCACTCAAAGCTCATCACATCACATTAGCCATGAGGATGTAGACTGGTTTGTCGCTTCTTGTTTCTAAGGTTTGGGATGGACACTTCCAGGTTCTGTCTGTCTCAATATGGACCCTTTCTCTGTGAAGAGAGTTTTTGTTGCCTCAGCCCTTGTAGCGAAAGCACTGGCACTGCGTAATGCCCTCATATTGGCAACCGGTCAGCTGGATTTTGCCTCTCTAACGGTGTTGTCGGAATCTCAAGCCTTACTTTCACTCATCAACCCAAAGAAAACTACTACAAAGCTAAAAGGGAACCTCCATGTTATAGCTTTGTTATGTAACTCGTTTGCTACTATCTTTACTGCTTTTGTTGCAGCTTAATGCTTATCTATGCTAGCCCTTGTGGTGGTTATTTTCAGTTCCTCCTTCGATGGAGTGTAATTTTTTTAAAGTTTTAATCAAATTAGTTTGCCCAAAAAAAAAAACATCCAGATCGAAGACTGGAGCCAATGAACATCTCACTCGAACTGCTACTCGATCAACACCATCGAATGGAGCCATACTTGACTATGTACTCGACCTCCACCTCCATGTTAAGCCATACTTATCTGTCATACAAGCCTGTAGATCTAGCACGCATCACGTTTTTACAGGCTCCACCATAAATTCGCAGACAACCTGGCCGACCAAGAAAATTACATATTTTCTTAAGGGGCGAGTTCAAGGTTATCTCCTATCATTATTATTACTTGGTAAATGTCTTATTATCTCTAACACCATCGCAATTTTTTCTACACACTTATAGCGAACTTCGCGGAGACGTTGCACACGCTGCAAAACTCTAGGTTACAACCGAGCAACATGCCAGGGGCCGATACCGGTAAACCTTTTCATAACAAGTTATTTTATATAACATCTAATAACTTTGAATATATTGTGGTACTATATTTGTAAACTCTCGACTTATAACTGCTATTTTGAAGCATATTCAGTGAAATTTGGGTCAGTTAATTGTTAGTTAATTATAATTCTAGTGCGAAATGTGATTAGTAAGTAACACATACAACACGTAATCCGATTGCCAATCCACAAAATAAAATTACGCTTCCAAATATTTGAGCAGTGAGCTACAACCAAAACCGTTAACAATTAATATCAAATAGCAAGATGGGGATATGTTTGTGGAGCCAGGAATACATCTTCGACACTACCAGAACAGTCTACAACAATAAGCATACTACTCAATCCCATAAATAATAAGTGTGGATACGAGCTTTCTGGGCACAGTGTCAAGGCTAGCAACGTCAAACTACCTGACCTCGAGCATGCCCCTAGAAGCGTGAGCATGGATAAAAAATACCATCATTAACCCATCATCAAATTGGGATCTCACCTGGGAGATGCCGAGAGGGCTCTCTACTTCATTTCGAGCAGGAATGGATCTAGTCGTGTCAGTATTAGCTGCAACTTGTTTGAATAGGAAGGGGAGCATCAATGCTACAGGTTGTATGGCAGTTTTGGCTTGGGCATCGCTTTGTATATTGAAATTGGGGTCGAGGACCACAATTTTCTGGGCATTTAGATCAACACAGAAAGCAACCCAATGCTTCTTGTCGGAATTGAATGGAATGCCCAGATATTCAGCATCAACGAACGGCTGGACACATTCGACATCTGAGCTACCAACAATTGCGTCCACAAGCGGCTGGGGGAATATGAACTTTGCTGAATTTGCAAACTTAACTTAATCAGCGCATACATAAGCTGTTAACAATATATATATATATATCAATTAGTATTGTTATCAAAGTAAAACACAATTTATATTACTAAAAATAAACTGGTACCTTGTTACCAATAGGTTTCTTCCTTTCAATGATTTCAAGGACGTGTTCGCTGGATATTGTAAATTCATCGCCTAGGCTTATTGTCCCAGAACTACCTGAGAAAAATAACTTACATGTGTCATATAAATTGAAATTGCTGACATAAAAATAATTGGATAACACCATGTATACGTCATTAAATCTGTTATCACCTTACCTTGAGTTCATAAGTTTTTTCATGGAGTTTTGGAACTGCTAAGGGTGGGGGACGGATGACCAACAAGAAACTTTGTCTTCTTGTCATAATGGTAGCAATAGTCAAGCTTTGTGGAAAACGTTCTGGCCCTTTTGCTTCTCCTACCAACATGAATAGCCGCACCACCACCAACATCAGCGAGAAAAGCACCTTCGCCCGCTGAGCTTGCCACTGTAGACGAAGAAACAACATCTGATTGCCCGACAACTGAATCATGCATTAAACATCCAAAGGCACCTGTAAGTTTCTGCAGATGAAACATAGGGAGCCAATATATGATGTCTTCGAAATTTACAAGCGGTTAAATACACCAGGGGCTTGGATGTTACCTTATGTGGCGTTATATAGCTGGTTCCAATGGGGTCCAAAGTATGTGTTTTCAAAAACAAAGCAAAAAGGATGATCAGTAAGTTAGTCACTAAAACATTTAATACTCAGTCACAACATAGCAAGGTCGTTAGTCGATAACTGTTGAGTTAACATTCCACACCGATTTCGGATATAGCTTCCCCATCCTACATTATGCAACCCCGTGTCGTTAAAAAGACAAACCCATATTAAACACCCAGAAATTAAACATCCAAACATTCGGGATAGATATTTCTCAACATTGCCAACATGTTAAAATTATTAATATTTTAACAACTAAGTGTTTTAGCAAGTAATATGTTTTTAAACCACTACAGGTCGACCTCTAAATTGGACAATCCAGCAACCGAGATCTCTTTAGGAAGAAGATGTGTTACGCGCGGTGGCCTAGTCTCCATCGCCATAGCCTCCATCGCTCACCTAGAAAGACAAAATAATGATTAAATATGTTCAATTTAGATAGTATTTGAACAAAAGCGTTTTCTGCTAACACAGTTATAATGTAAAAGAGCTATGCTGCTAACATGGTTATCCAAATCAAAATTAGATTCAGCGCCCCCTCCCCCCCCACTCTCCCTAGACTCCCTGGGTAGTAGAAGGCAGTGACTTCTTCAATAGTGGTGAGAGTGGTCCCCCTAAGATCGTGGGCTCCAAACTGGGTGTCCTCCGCCTGGGTATGTTCTGCTATTTCTGGCCGCACATATGAGGTGGAACCCCCAACATTTGCCGCGGCCAATTCATTAGAGTTTGTCTTTTTTTGGCAACCGCCCAGGTTATTATCTTACAAGTCACCATTAACATCCCCTGACGGCTCTTATACCAAATCCTCTTCAACAATAATATCTTCAGAAGAGATAACTATGTTTTTTTAGAACCACAAAATCATCCCATCAATAATTCTTGCCTCATGACCCGCAAGCTTAGCATTTAAAAGGAGAGTTAAAGTCTCTATGTCCACGGATCCAGGAGTGGATGAGGTTGATGTATTGGATGAACCAGGAACAGAGGTTGAAACAGTTGGAATTCGACCATGATTGGGCACCTTCCTGCCGCGAGTAGCTTTCACTGTTAACCCCTTCCTGGGCTTTTTCTCAACAACTTCAACCTCATAAGGGATGCATCCGCCCTGGAGCATAGAGTTAGAGAATTTAAAGCCTTCCTCCGCCAGCCAAACCATATTTTTGACTCGCGGATCTTCTTCCTCATCAGACCATGACAAATCTTCTACTTTGTTATCCCACTCAACATCCGAAAGAATAATGGGATCCACATGGGCCTACATCGATAACGGAATTAGTTGATAGTTTATATATCAAATAATTTATAATATGCTTGCTACACGGTAATGTATCCGATAATTTTATCGCCTAACTAGTAATTGATTATTAAGCTTACCTCGCATTTCGAATCAACTTCCTTGGCGTTCCCCGACTTTAGGTGAAAAACCTGCCTGCGAGGGGAATCTTCTTCTTTGGAACCGGAATAAACAATATCGTCTAGCACAGGACCCTCCTGAATTGTCGGGACGGCCTGGAGAACAACTAGCTGGAGAGCGTAAAATAGACCTTGAACAGCCACCGACGTTGTTACGAGCTGTTCAACATCTCTCTCTTAAATAGATGTCATGGTCATCTCAAACGAGACCCTCCCCCACGTATAAGATAAAAAGGATTCAAGATTCTTGGACATCTCAGCATGATTCTTTGAAAATTTTGGGTAATGGGAAGTAGGAAGGAGAAAGCCATCCACAAGAGCAAGATAGGCGTATCTAAGCCACAAATCTTAATCTGTCACTACCTTCTTCATTAAAATGTTGATTACCCAGTCCTCTTTTACTGGTTTCTCGGGTATCTACCACACGATAACCCCGTTACTAGTTCAAACTCTCTCAGCAAAAACCGAATTGGCGTCCTAGCAAACACAACCCAGATCTCGTTGGATTTGGCCACATCAAGCTACTTACCCAAAAGAAACTGAACAATGGTGGCAAACCAGTTTGGCTGTATACGGAAGTCAAACAACTTCCTCAGCGAAGACGCCCTAACTTTTTGTAATTCATCCTCTTCGAGAGCTTCATTTATGCGGACCAGTGTTTTTACTTTGTGGTATACATTGACCCTCTCCCCAAGAGGTTCCTCGCCAAATGCAATGAGCCGATTTGGAAGCTCCATCTTCTCTATCTCTAAAAACACATCCGATAACATGATTAGTGCGCTAACAATACAAATCATGCCTTTCATGTGATTAATGACAAATTGCCGATGTGAGAAACTGAGATGTTTTGTGAAGGAGAGGCGGAAAATTAGGGTTGCAAGGAGTGGTGGTATATGATGTCGGATGGTTATGCAGCTACTCTTTACCAGTATATGCGTTGTTTCAGCTTTCCGTAACATACCAGAGTTATAAAAAAATCATTTCGAAATAATTATGGCGAAGAAATCTAAAGAAATCTTACAACTCTGTGACACATGATCTACATAGACATATTATTGCTCGATGCATGCTATTCTATAGGGCCAGATGGGTAAAACCACAACTACACAGTACGCTTCAAACAATATGTTTTGTGTCGGTCAATTTTTATAAAGTTATTTACACCTACACCTACTTTGTGTACATAAGTTTGCCAAAAAATATACTTTCAGATATAGGTGTACTTTCTGTCTAACTCTCATATTATTGACAATAATTTTAGACATTTTTGACCCTAAAGTAATAGGTAATGAAACATAGAGAAGCTGAGTTTGTTTGTTTTTTTAATCGGTTTTTCCAAGCTTTCTCTCTCTCCTTCTCTCTCACTTTTTTATTGTTGTCATTTTAAGTTGTTATAATAAAAAATTATCTAATTATTTTTATACAATATGTTGTGATTGTCTTTTTTCTTGACATTTCAAGATGCATATTTCTATATTTTCGATGTATTATTATATTATACACTATCCATACGAAGGTGCACATATGTTCGATGAAAAGTGGATGATCAATTGCAGTATCATTTATGTTTAATCTATTTTATTTATAATTACTTATTTGTGTTTAGTCATATAAGAACATATTAAAACCTATTTCATGAAAGAATTTATGGTTTGGTAAAAAGTCATAAATAAGTATCAAACAAACATCTTAACCCCAAAACCTAAAAATGTATACCCTAACCTCTAAACTCTAAACATAAAGAGAAAACAGTGGAATATGCACATTAAGCTAACAAAAACTCTAAACATAAACCATAAAACTCAAACATTAACCCATATCAAAATTAATTTAACTCTAAAACTAAAACCATAAATCATACATTACATTCTAACATCCAAACATTTTAATGAACATCCAAGAATATCCACAATACTGTAACCACATGGATATATATGGTCAATGTGTCTAGGTGAAAAGCGAAAACAATGGAATATGCAAATCAAGCTAACAAAAAAATATTGGAAGATGAAAACAAACCTAGAGTGAAAGTAAATAAATTATTGAAAAAGTTATAAGGAGAGGCATCGTCGAAGTATGAACTTGCTTTACAATTGCTAAAACATATACACACCATGTCTAATCACTAAATCATAAACCCTAAATACTAAAATCTAAACCCTAAAACCAATACAGTAACACTTAACCCTAAAATCTAAGCCCTAAAATGAAAACCCTAAATACGAAACCTTGAACTATAAATCCTTCACACTAAAGACTTTAAAGAATAACCGAATTTATCCACATGGATTTCAAAAATTTGTAACCATAAATCCCAAACCCAAAACTCGAAACCAAAAATCCTAAATCCTAAACACGAAACTCTATATTGTATAAAACTAATCATTACCAATGGGTCACATGTGTGAATAATGGACTCATTCCACAAAGATACCATAAAACCATGAACCAAAATCCTAAACAGTGGTTTTTTATTGAACTTGAATTGTCATTCCACAAAGATATACTTTGTTATTTATGTGTTGATCTTGAATTGTTAGTTAGTTATCATCCATACAATCATGTCCATATGGATACCCAAATCATCTAGTTGATAGTAAACATAGCAATTGCATATAGCAAAAACTTAGATATATGTTGTGAGGTTCACTCGCATTTATTTTTGAGATTTGGAGCTGACGAAGATGATGGAGAAGAAAAATGGTGAGTTTGATAAAGAGAGAGAAAAAAATGATAGATATAAGAAAAAAAAATTATTTTGTTGTTTTGATAAAGTAGAATTAAAGAGAGAGAAAAGATGAAAAGGATAGAATAGTCATTTTCTTAACATAAAGTATAGAGGTAGTAAAAAGTGGGTGTGAAGGTGAATACTTTGTCACAAAGTAGGTGTATATGCAAAGATTTTAGGGTTTTCATTTTAGGGCTTAGATTTTAGGGTTAAGTGTTATTGTATTGGTTTTAGGGTTTAGATTTTAGTGTTTAGGGTTTATGATTTAGTGATTAGACATGGTGTGTATATGTTTTAGCAATTGTAAAGCAAGTTCATACTTCG